ATTTGCAAGGGCCCCTTCCCACTCAGGTGCTAGTTTTGCAGAGACAGTGCAACATATTCACTGCACTGTAGCGTCCTCGTGAGCACCCAGAGAGACCATTTTCCCATCCTCCCTTGCAGGCAATTTGGAATCACATGACAGAGTTCTGGCCAATAGGATGTGGGCAGAAGTGACATAAACCCATCCAATCTTGGTCCTTACAAACAGCTTGCGAGATCTTGTACTTCTCTCCCCACTCTGTAGAGCCTTAGAAAGCCTTGGTTCCAGATAGCACAGTTGCAAAATCTATATAGTTTGGATCCCAGGCCACCTCCTAAAAGGAACTATCAAGAAGCAGTAAGAAGGTAAAATGAGGAAGGAATGAATCTTTATTTACTGTGTGAAGACACCGAGACTCCAGCATAGCCTAACCTACCCTGACCAATATAATCTTAGTCTCGAATTCAGTTGTCTCTTCTATGGCACCTTGGAAGTCCACACACAGAGCAGGACAATGGAGGGATATATCCGGACCAAAGTCACTTTCAGGAATCTGAATTCAAATGAGTAACTAAACCATCCATGAGTCTCATCCTCTCTGAGTTAAACGACATCAATACCTTTAAATGTCTCCTGAATCCAAGATCCATCTGTTTGATCACCTCGGCCTCCTTTATCAAGATTTCCTTCTGTTTTCCACATTTTTAAAAGAATTGGTGACCTAGATTAGAAAGATTACTCTAATAAGCAGAGAATCCATAACACATTTGGTATAGAATATGGGAGACCTCCTCATGTTTCTCCTTCTGTCTGTCATCACAAAAGCACAAGATAGCTTGAAAAGTCTTTAATCTCATGTCCCAAGTTAAACCTGGCCAAGTTGAGCACACAAATTTATTGTTTTTTTCTGAAGCGCACTAAAATGTGAATTAAGGTATCCACCCACCAAGACGAAAAGAATGAGAGGGGAAAACATACCAGCAGAAGACAAAAGACGTCAACAGATTTTTTGGAAGATAGAAAGCAGGTGGAGGAATTATCAGCGCTGAGAAATCTGAATACCATGTGGCCACACGGGGATGCTAAGGAGAACGGAGCCAAGTCAAGCTGGGGCATCTTGGCGAGGTGCAGAAATCGCAGGCACCAGAACTGCAAGAGACAGAGACGAGGGCCCTCCCTGGTGGCGCAACGGGTTAAGATGCAGCACTACGTAGCTGTCAGCAGCCACTGCAGCGTGGGTTCGATCCCCAGCCAGGGAGCTGACCAACATGGCACAGCAGACCTCTCCTGTCCCGCACGCTGCTTCCCTCAGCAGTGACACTTAGTCAATCTGCTTATTGTGCTCCCCACGCTGTCTCTGGTGAGTCCTCTCAACCCCCCTGCGCCTCTGGCCTGTCCCCCAGTTCTGTATGCATAAATAAATTTATCATTTTAAAAAATAGACCGCGATGAGTTGTAGGTCTGAAAACTGGGCAATGGGTTTTCAAGCCTGCAAAAGAAACAAATACCCTGAGTTCCGCCGCCAACCCCGCTTGATATAGCCAGTGCACCAGTTTTCCTGTACCCCCACAGGGGCACTACTCAGGGGAGAAACTGAGGGTCTAAACCCAGGTGGATGGGAAAGTAAGAAAAAAAGAGTTATGTTAGGAGGATTAAACAAGTTCGTCTACAAATGGCTGTGCCTCATGCCCTGGGGCACACCCCCAGGTATCAGCACCAGGTCTCCCACCACACCCCCCTTCACCCCCGTAACCTTCCCCCCCCCACACACACACACGCACACACAGATGGAGGAGGTAGATGGACTTTTCTCTGAAAAATCACCTGACTCCAAGAAACAACCCATGGTTACTGAGATTTGGGGATCCCCAAAGAAATGGGTAAAGCCCGCCTGCCGTGACAGCCATGCATGCAGAGCTGCAGCGGGCTTGTGAATTCTTTGCTCTTGAACGTTAGTGAACTGCAGAAAGATAACCAAGAACTCAAGGGTGGTCTCTGATAGCGACGATCAACGGAAACCTTCTGACAGTCAACCAAAGAGAGGAGCTTAGCAGAAATAAAACATCAAAGAAATGATCACGAACAGCTTTCAAGCGATGCTAGAAGACACATCATCTGGAAACTGGAATAAAAGACTCTACAAGAGAGATGGGCCCAGTTGGCTTGTGGTGAAGACTGCACATCCTGTAACTCTACCAAAAATCACAGTGGGTAAGTGTATATCTAAGTTGTCTCCACACACACCCCCAGGCCTTTATAAGAGAATAATCAGGAAAAAAGGACCAAGTCCTTGGGCCCTGAGAATGTGAGAGCAGAAGTAAGACTGTCAATGAGGGTTTGGGAGATAAGATGCGAGAAACTTTCAGAAGTTGGAAAAAACAGTGGGAGGGGAAATGGGTGGAGAAAAATAGAGGCAACAGAAGCCCCCCGCCCTCCCACCCAGGCCCAACAAAGCAGAGAGTAGACAAAGTGGAGGGGCGGTCACTGTCGACGAGGCAGCATTTCCCAGACTGAGGGCCAGGGTAGGTCCAGGCGTCCAAAGCTCGGGGAGCCTGCGACGCGGTGACCCCACACAGGCTCACACTGCGTTCCGGCGGTGGTGCTGATGGGTAAAACAGCCCATGTTTCCAGAGGGCAACACGACGCAGAGTAATTCAAGAAAAATCTGTCCTGAGGAAGCTTTCAGACTTCATTCTCCGAGTCAGAAAACAAGGGAGAAATGTGTTCAAAAGTCTTCCTTTACTCTGGTAAAACAAAGGCTCTTCAAAGCGAGCCTCTGACCAGATGAAATGATGCAGTGCTCGGGGCTGTGTGGGGCCTGCCGAGCTCCGTAGCTGCTCCAGCCCTCTGGCCTCCTCCCCACACGCTTTCGCCCCTTGGCTCCCTCCCTCCCACTTTCTCTCCAGGTCCTCGTTTCTGCTAACGGTCCTCTCCCTTCTCCTCCCGTGTCCTCTCTTCCCCACTGGCCACCCCACACAGCGGAAGGGATTGTTCTCCAAGACCTCTTCATCTGTGACGTGCTCCTATGTTCTCTGTCTCCATTTCAACAACAACACGCGTGACACCTCGTGTTTTCTCGTTGCCGCCTCTAGCTGAAATTCCCCTGCTGCTCCCCTCTGCAGCCTGTGCCGGTCTCCCCGGGCCTCTGCCTGCAAAGCCCTGTCTCACTCGCCCTCCAGGGTGGCCACTGCCCATGGGTCACCTCCCATGGGAACCAGAGGCTTCAGGGATCGGAGCTCAGCCTGATCGTGCATGTTTAGAGACAATTCCAACGAGTGTCTGCCAGGGACAGGGACAAAGAGCTTAGATTTGGTCCTCAGGAGGAGGTCGCCTCACTCTAGAGCCTTCTCGGCCTCTGGCCTTTGACCCTACCTCTCACTGCAGCAGCCTGTCACTCTAAGCCAGGCGTCCCGGGGACTGGGTCCTGCTCCGTGGACACTTGCCGGGAGGGAGAGGTGACTGCAGGGACAGTCCATCGCTCAGCACGCGTTTGCAGAATGCCAACTGCGTTCAGCCCCAGGGAAAGCTGATGCTGACTCCAGCCACTGTCCACTGTCAGTGACAGAGAAACCAGCACCCAACATTAATTACTCTTCACGGAGCCACTGTGCTCACAAAGACAATGGGTTTGTACAAAGCGTCAGAGCAACGTGGAAGCGGCAAGAGCTCCTTTTCTTTCTTTTTTCTTTTTGCCAATAAGTGATATTCTTTTTCTTTTAGGGGCTCCTTTTCTTCCGGAACATTGAGCTTCCCAGAGGAGGGGACCCGGGAACTGCACCTTTAAAGATGGACGGACTCTGCAGATGGAGCAGCGGTGCAAAGGCACTGAGGTGAGTAAGAACATTCTTTCTGGCATGATTCCTGGGGAGGGCAGCCCAGCTCCCCTCCTCGCAGAATTCCCACGCTCACATCACATCTGTCACCCTGTCCAGGGAGAGACAGCAGTGTCTGGTCCTGCGTGACTGCGTGGTGGCCTGTGAGTGACGGCTCGGTCGCGAGCAGCGCCAGGGTGCACTGTCCTCGGAAGAGAGCTCCTGGATTTGACAGGTGCGCTGTCAGCCCCAGCCGCAGTCACTCCCCACCGACTCACCTCCGCTGCCCCCGTCTCAGGAGGGAAGGAGGCCCCACTCCTCACGCACACCTGACAGACGCGGCTGCAGGGCTTTGAGACTGGCTCCCTTGCAGCAAGGGTAAAAGCAGCAGCCTCTTGGCAGGGCGGCTCTGACAAGCTGCGGGCCTCGGAGAACCCGCAGGGCCCCTAGCGCACCCCGCATCTGGGTCCCAGCACCCTCCCCGCCCGTGCCAGGCATATGGCAGGTATATGGCAGGTGTTTCCTCCAGGCCTCTCCACAGAGCTTAACAGGCGCGGGAGGGAGTCGTGGTGTTGGGGCGCCTGGGACGGCAGGCCTGAACACACGCGCACGGCCGAAGGCGAGCCAGGCCGGGCCTAAGGCCGGGCACTAAGGCTGTGGGGCCCAGCGACTCGCCCAACGTCACAGGCTGATGCCGGAGCTGGGTGTGCGCCCAGGCAACGGCCACAGAAACTGCACTTGTGACTGAGCAGTGTGACCAGCCCCACAGGCGGACATCTTATTGGGCACAGAGGAGAGAGTGTCCCGGGGGCCAGGCAGGACCCCCGGCCAGGCGGAGCGCGCAGGAGGGGGTGTCTGGAGACACCCCCTCCTGCCGGCAGGGAGGGAGTGTCTGGAGACACCCCCTCCTGCCGGCAGGGAGGGTGGTGGCCTCCACTGTCCACTGTGGTTCAAAGGAACCTGGCCCCCAAAGCCTCTGATGCCATCTATTTCTTCTTCTTCTTCTTTTTTTTAAGATTTATTTATTTATATATACAAGTACAGGCCAGAGGATTCACCAGAGACAGAGTAGGGAGCAGGACAGGCAGCTGTATTGAAATACTCTGCTGAGGGGGCAGTGGGGAGCAGGAGAGGTCTGCTGCCCCTGTAGGTCACCTCCCTGGCTGGGGATGGAACTTGAGGCTGTGGACAGCTTCATCGTGCTGTGATTTAACCCCTTGCGCCACCAGGGAGGGTTTGCAGTACAAACCCACACCATCTGTTTGTACTGCAGGCCAGCTGACCAGGTGGTCCTCTCCCCTGGTCCATCCCACATCCCTAAGCACGGGGCCACCTCGGGCCTCAGCAGAATAACAGGTTCCCACAGGGGCTTTCAAGGGTCATCAGAAAACATCCTCTCGTGACCCTACTTGGTCTGAACCCCCGGCCATCCCCTGTGCTCCTCAGTGAACGATAACCGCCACTATGCGACTATCACTGAGCGCCAGGCGCGATGTGACTGAGCCCGTTCGGCCTTCACCGTGCATCCTAGAGGGCAGGTATCACACTCTCCTCTTTGCCGCCAGCACAGGAGACCAGGGTGTCTCCCAAACGGGGCCCTGGTCACACGGGGGCCGAGTGGTGGTCCGACCTGGCCTGGGCGTGTTGCGCTGGGCCCAGCCCTATCTCTGGGGCCACAAGGGCCTGGGGCCTCCGCAGCACTGGCATAGACCCCTGCTCAGATACCTACTTCACCTGGCTGGAAACAACACAAAAGCCAGGACGTTCACAAAAGTGGAGGTGGTGTCCTCTGGCACTGAGGGAGTTATCGAAAGGCTAAGGTGCCCGAAGGGATTGAGGGGTGCACACTCCACCTACTGCAGAGGCTCATAGGGTCAAAGGAAATCAGGTTGGCAAGGTGGGCCAAACCACCCCACACTGAGGCATCCTGGGCTGAGAAGGCAGGTGAGACCCACCGCTCCATCCACTAGAGAAGGCAGAAAAGGAGAACGAGAGGGTCGCTGGTCTGTAGGGAGGCTGGTCGTAGGAGAACCCAAGGCTGGCAGGGAGACCTTTAGTGGGGGCACATACCCGGACGCCCACGCATTCCAGATGATCAGGTGCTGACTGATCCCCCACACCATTCTCCCGGCCATAGCGAGCGCCATCTGCAGGCAGCCCTGTGCCAAGCGGTGGTCTCCCCGGCTCATGCCCAAGTACTGGCCATCTGGGGAGCTGGCAAAGATCGGCCTCCAAAACCAGCAGGACTCAGTTTTTTAAACCTAAGAGCAGTCACCTAGCAGGACCCCTTTCCAGGACCTTCTGAGGGATTCGGGCGGATATGATCACGCCCAGTCACAGAGAAACGGGGACCCCAGAAAGCTAGCCACACCCAGCTAGCTCTCCGTGTGGCCAGGCAGGATCCCAGCTTAGGCTCTTTGACAAAAAGTTCCCTGCTCCATGGTCATCTCACCCATCAAATCAGTGAGAGAAAGAGCATGGAGGGTGGAAGATGAAGCAAAAAGCCGCCAGCTCAGAATGCCAAAGAGCAGGATTTGTGGTTTGTGTGGGTCACCCCAGGGCCCTCCGCCACCCCCAGCTTCCCCTTCCCAGCCATGGAGAGCAAACGGCCCCCGAGAGCTCACCCTCCCGGCCTGTCAGCGGGTCAAAACAGAAAACTGAGCTGCTTAACAGGAATGGTCAAGGAGGAAGAGGGGTTTTATTAAAGGGTTCAGTAACTGGCAGACAATCGAGAACATCATCTTTTATCTTAAGATTTATTTAGACATACAGAACTGGGGTACAGGCCAGAGGTGCAGGGGTGGTGAGAGGATTCACTAGAGACAGAGTGGGGAGCAGAACACGAAGACTGACAAGCGCAGGCGGGTCAGGAGAAGTCTGCGGCGCCATGTGGGTCACCTCCAGGGCCGGGGATCAAACACGCACTGAGGCGGCTGGGGCCAGCTTGCAGAGCTGTGTCCTAACCCACTGCACCACCAGGGAGATCCAAGAATATATCGTCTTTTGATTTCCATCAGTGCCTTCCCCGCAGAGAGCCTGTCAGCCAGAACCTGGAGGCCGAGGCCGACTACCCTAACTGGAAACTCGAGTTATTGGAATTCACCAGTTTTTCAGAAATGTGAAACCTTTCATTTCCCTAGCCGTGTTCCGTAATCAGCCACCCGAACTTTGAGCTCATGTTTCTGTGTCAGACGAAGCCACCCAACCGGGTTTACACTGCTGATGAACCATCCCTTGGCCCACCTGGAACCACTCCCTCAGGAGGGATTTACGGTGAACTTATTTATTCCTGGGACAACCTTCTTTTCAGCCCAACTTAAATTTCCCAGGGGTTTGGGCCCCAAATAGAAGATACCTGCTATGATATCCTGAGCTAATGGCCACAGACACCTGCTGGAGGCCTAATTAGAAGGCAGATCGGCTGGCTGGTCACCACGCCCACCCGCACGCAAGGCTTGCTGGGTAGGGGCTACAGATCCCTGCTGGGCTAGCTGATTATCATCCCGCTCTCTTCTTTCTAATTTGCCACTTTGACATATTTGTACTCCCTAATTAGTCAGCAAGTCATCAGTGACTGCCTTCTGCGGGCCTATACTTACACCCTTCGCTTGGATTTGGGGGCCTAGAAGAGAAATACTGGTTCCTTTGGAGTCTCTTCCGGAGTCTTCAGTCAGGTAAACCAGTAACATATTGAGCAGTCTTTCTTTTTTTTAAAGATTTATTTATGCATACAAGAACTGGGGTACAGGCCTGCGGTGTAGGCGTGAGAGGATTCACCAAAGACAGAGTGGGGAACAGACCAGGCAGAGCTACTGAAATCCATTGCTGAGGGGAGCAGCGGGGAGACAGGAGAGGTCTGCCGTGCCATGTGGGTCAGCTCCCTGGCCAGGGATTGAACTCCTGTTGCAGTGGCTGTGGACAGCTTCATAGTGCTGCGCTTCAACCCATTATGCCATCAGGGAAGGCCCCATACTGAACAGTCTCCGTGGGAAAGCAGGTGCCCGGACACCCCACATCTGAGGATGCACACATGGTATGGCATTCCCAGGGCTGGTTAAGGGGAGAAAGAAATAGTGCCCTGTTCAGGACTCTTCTCATCCCTTCTTCCTTCAGCAGAGCCAAAGGAGAATATCCATTTCATTCACTAACTCACCAAATATCTTTTAAGCACCTTCCTGATGCTAGGCCCTCAAGGGAATTTTGCCCAAAAAACAGGATAGTCTGAAAGATAGGACAGCACCAGGGACTTAGCAGAGGGGAGTACACTTTTTTTTTTTTTTAACACATCACAAAATTGAACAGGGGCAAGATCCAGAAGGATGAGTAAATTTAGGTCTCAGGAAATTGCTAATAAGGTTCACTCTGAGCCCTCGCTGGTGGCGCAGCGGGTTAAAGTGCAGCACTATAAAGCAATACACAGTCATTGCAGCACAAGTTCGATCTCTGGCCAGGTTGCTAGCGCGGCAGACCTCTCCTGACCCGCCCGCTGCTCCCCTCAGCAGTGTGTTTCAAGTCCACCCACCTGTTCTGCTCCCCACTATGTCTCTGGTGAATCCTCTCACACCCCACACTTCTGGCCTGCACCTGTTCTGCATGCATAAATAAATAAATCTTTAATATAAAAAAAAGGACTAATTCTGTTCAAGTTGAGTGTCCTGTGAGGTCTGGCCTGTCCTCAGAGTTTGAGGAGGTAAGAGAAAGCAGCTTCTCGGGCTCACAGCTGGCCCTTGTTTTTGAAAACAGCAACAGTGACACATTACCAGGTTTCTCCAGGGCAGCAGCACCAACCGGAATTACAGTGAGGCAGGAGAGATTTATTATGGGAATTGGCTCATATGGTTATGGAGGCTGAGATGGACGATAGATGGCCTGTCTGCAAGCTGGAGAACCAGGAAACTGGAGGCATCTTTCAGTTCAAGGCCAAAGGCTTGAGGAAGGAGCATGGGCTCAGGGCGGGCGAGGGAGGTTTGGGGGCTGCTGTAAGATTTGAAGCCCAAGGCCCGTAAGGGAGGGAGGCAGTAGGGATGGATGCCCAGCCCAAGAAGAAAAAGCAGAACTCAGGCTCCCTCCACTCTTGTGTGCTCGGGGCAAGGGGCATTGAACTGTATGGCTGGTGAGGGGGTCTTCTTTACCCAGTCTGCTCCTTCAAATGCCAGCTCTTTTGGAAACACCATCGTGGACACCCTGGAAGTACTGTGTTATCATCAGGACGCCCTCAGCAGGGTCAAGTAGACACACAAGACACCAATCACACTGTGACAAGCTCCATCTGGAGTGCTTTCCTCTCCCGTTTCCTGACCCAGTCAGGCTCCCCAGTCTCCAGTCTTTGGCTTCCTGCACACTGAACTCCCAGGCTGCTCAGCCCACCAGCCCACCTTTTGCATGCTGCTTTGGCTAATTTTTTAATTTCTCCCTTCTCTCACATCAGTCACTCTGAGTCAAGGTTGTTTCATGCAGCCAAACCCCAGGAAGCCTGCTCTGCAGGTCTGGAAAGCAGGACGCCTCTGCTGAGTGGCTGGACCCACCTATCAAGGGAAAGCTTGAGAAGACACCCAAGTGGCTACACCTGGAGTGCGTGGCCCAGCTCAGGCTTTAAGAGGATTTGCATGGGAAAATATCAGGATAAGTGATAGGAATGGGTAGTTTCAGAAGTGAGGAGGTGGAAGACAGTCAGCACAGTGCCTAGGAGGGTGTTAGTAGCTGCAGGGTACTGGAACTGGTCAGACTTCTACGCCATTGGCCTCTGTGGCAGACAAGTGGGGCTTGGATGCAGGAGGCTCTGGGGAGTGTGAGCATGAGGCACCTGTGCTGGCGGTGGACCCCGGGGGGCATGGCGTGGGCCTGCGTGAGTGGGCGCACCTGAGCCTGGAGGCCCGGATATCAGGGAGGGGCCACCAGGGGCAAGAAGGCGGTGGAGGAACTTCTCGGGAGGGTGAGGCATGCTGTGAGAGGGGGCCCAAAGAGAAAGGAAAGATTTGTGGGGGGCTGGGCCAGCTCACCCCCCACCTGCGCCCCTGGCCTCCCTGCCTGGCCAGCCTGCAGGTTTGCCCTACAACTGGCACAGAAAAGGGCATGCAAGCCTGAAACGGCCGCTGAGGGCTTCGGGACGCTCCTCTCTGCCGGAATCGATAGAGAACCTGCCTGGGCTCGCTGGCACCACGTAGCCAATAACACCGGTGCCATTATTGTTATTGCTGAATCCCAGGATGGGAGCGTTTGTAATAAAATATGACTAACACGGGCAGCTGTTAAAAGCTATTTTCAGGGCAAAGAAATCAAGGAAGAGATAGGCCCAACATTTGAGGCAGATGCTGTGATGTGAACAAAAGACTGAAGAAAACTTAAAGAAGCCTCTCTCTCCTGATTTTCCTGTTTCCTTTACGAAAGAGAATGATCTTGAACCTGCGAGGCTGAGGATGAACCAACATGCGTCACTGGGACCCAGGAGGGTGTAGGGTTAGGGAGCCCTGCTGCCTCAAGCTCAACTCTTGATTCCAGCGAGGTGTATCCGCAGCTTCCCAGTGCGGGTGCAGAAGCCATCCTGGAAGACGTGAGAAGTCAGTAAGCGGCAGCATGTGGGGACAGGCCGGAGCTGGGCTGCCAGTCTGAGAGTCGGTGGGGCCTGGTCAGCGGTTCTGAGCCGTGGGCTAAGACGCAGGTGTGAGTGGGCTGGCGGGTCTCAGCCAGGCTGAGGGGAGGGGGCGGGGTGGGGGCAGAGATCGACATCACTGTGGGCAGACGGCTCCCCGCAGGCACTGCTCTGCTCTGCACAGGGTAGAGTCGTTTCCACACGACACCTAACAGAGTCTCAGGACACCCAGTCAAGGTCCACAAGGCTAGAGTGCAAGGGTGCGTAGCCAAACGAGGTGGCCGTCAGCAGCCACGCCAAACCACCACTGGTGCCGTGCCAGGCCTCGGAGCTGCTCCCTCCTCCCCGGCGCACTAACGAAACAGGCTGCAGAGGCTTCTGAAGGCCTGGCCCAGTCTTGTTGGATATTTCTTTGAATTCAGATGATGACTCGTGAGTCATGGTGTCAAGATTTCTGGAAGCAAATCTTGGCGGGAAAACTAACACAAACAACAGAAATCTGAGATTCAAAATGAAGCCATGCGGTGGGATGATGGGCCAGAGCTCAGATGAAATGGAGACTAGTGTCATCTACTCGGTATCTAAAAGCAGCCCAGCTGCGGCTTAGAAGTGGCCAGAGGCTCAGTGTCACTCCTCTGCAGCGACCCAGACACAGCTCAGCCTGAGGCCACCCCCAGAACGGAGGACAGAGAGGGAAGGGCCCCTTGCACGGTGAGTGTTTGCTGCCTGCCGGTTCCTGGCTTTGTTCACACAAGCTCGCATATGGCTTCTATACAGTTTGTGGAGTTTCTATCCAAAAGGATGCTATTGTACCGGCAGCGTGAGAGGTCTGTTTTGCATGTAAGGTTTAGTAGAAATTTAGTATGTGGAACTTACATCAGTAAGGATCAGTTTGGATTCAGCCACATGGGCTGGACTGGGGAGACCCACCCCAGGTTGTCCCCATTTGGGAACCTCTTCCACAAGAGGATGGATGGTAGTGAGGCAGGCCTGGAGTAACAGGAATGATGCGGTAAAGCAAGACGAGATCTGTTGGCCCTGCCTGGGAAGTAGTCTGGGGAGGGATCTGTGCAGTCGACAAAGAGTGAGATTCACAGAAGACTTTCTTGGAAAAAAAAAAAAATGCCATGAGGAATAAAACGCAGTGGGGAGATAATTCTAGAGCTATCAATTTATGCTATATCATCGGTAAAACTTGGTAGGCTGTTGGTTTTGGGGAAAACTACTGTAGAAGACAATTGGACTGAAACTTGAATATGGACTGGAAATGAGATGGCATTAGGAAATTACTAGAGGTTTCCTTAGGTGTGAAAATAATCTGTGTGTGTGTTTACAACGTCTTTGTGATTTGGGGTGCCTGCTGAAGTTCTTAGGAGTGAAGGGGCATGATGTCCCCAGGTTATTTCCAAATGTTTCAGTACAAGAAGCCTGAAAAGGGAGCTATAGAGCAGATGTGACAAGTGTTGCAATGAGGTGAAGCCCTTCTAAATATTCTTTTTAACTGGCTATGTTTGAATGTTGAGGAAAAGGAAGGAGTGGGCTTGTAAGTCAAATAGTTCTTGGGTGTCTGAGTCAGGCACATCACAGAGGTTTTGTCCCCCTCAGCCCCCCAGAGTCTCACCCCTTCTACGGGGGGCCGGAGCTCCCTGGAGGGAAGGCTGGCAGGTGAAGCTGGCACACCCTGCAGAAGGCTGTGTACACAGCCCAGGCAGCGTGCTGTTTGGAATGCGCACCCTTGCCCCGATGGCCTCCAAGCCAACCAGTGGGTTAGACAGGAGCGGGTGAGGGTCAGCAGAATCCTCGCAACAACTCAGTGGCAGACACTGAGGCTCAGAGAGATTAGTACTTTTAACCATGGTCACACAGCTGTGTGGAGTGAGGATTTGAGCCCAGAGAGCCTAGGACCTATCTGCTAACCACAGCAGTGGGCCTGTATCTGTGGACTAGGGGGCTCACCCTGACCCTACATTTCAAGAAAGATGCAGAGAGCAAGACAAATGAGGCTGAAAGCTACGAGGGGAATGGGAGAGGCCAAAGCTCTTGTAAGAAAAACTCTGGGAGTGGGGTCTGTCCAGGGGAGGGGAATGCAATGCCATCAGGGCTCAGAGATGTTAATATGGGAAAGCAGAGGGGTCACTTTGCACAGCAGGATAAGGACATCCAAAAGATGGCAACTGTCTAAGACCAGAGAGTTACCCCAAGCTGGAAAGGACTGTTGGTGAGGTAGTGAGCTCCCTGGCACTGACAGCTTTCAAGCTCAGGCGGGATAGCGATTAGCATCTTCTCTGGGAGGCTTCTCCCCGTCTCTTCTCCAAGTGCCTCCAGCGCTGCTCAGACCTGCCAACATGGCAACATCCTCACTGCGCCTGGTTTCCTGATTGTACATTTCATACAGCTTTACTGAGATTTAATTTACACTCCATACAATTCACCCAGTCAGCAAGCTCATGGTCTTAGTAAATGTGTAACAGGTGTCACCCTGAACACTGTGATTGACTCCATTTCCCAAAGAACTTTCTAGGCACTGGACAAGACGTCCAGGTCTCCCTTGGCTGTGGTGTCCTCCCTGCGCCCTGGGTCTTCATCTCTGCTCAGCCCCTTCGCATCGGCTGGCACTGCTGTGTGGCCCTGTGTCCCAAGGTCTGGGCCTCCCTGGGTTTTCCACTGGACTCCCTTCTGCCAACTCCTGGTTCCCAAAATCTAGTCTCGAGCACAGGCCCAAGGCAGTGGTGTGTGTGGAACGCTGTGGCACCTGGGTGCCCCGGATCCGCGTTTGAATTATTGCCACGTAACCTCTGGCATGCCACTCTCCTGAAACTTGGTTTCCCCTTTTGCAGATAAAATGCATCTTTGCCAGGGGTGATGGTGAGTGATGATGTGTAAAGCACCCAGCACAGTCTCTCCAATGCTCCACTAATGGCCGTGATGACTGCTAATACTGCTGCTGCCTTTACTATCACTGGCACTCACATCCTCTGCTCTAGAGGCGCAGGGCCTGCTTACAGGCTGGGGTGGAGCAGCAGCACCACCTAGTGGTGATAAGCTATAGTCAGCCATTGCTTGGTCAAATCTACAGCTAAGGGTGCCAACTCCCTTGTCGATGGGTGCCTGCAAGCGGCCATCGCACCCCCTGCCACACCTTAGAGCAAAAGCTGAGATGAATAGAAATTAAAATAGAAGTTCTCAATGTGGTGCTTTTATGACCAAAGTTGTAAAAAAGCAGTGTCCCCACTAAATCTACATAGATTTGGGAAAGAGGTCGGAGGTTAGTGGCTGCCTGGGCTGGGGTATGAGGGTGTGACTGGTGAACAGTACAGGGTTTCTCCTTGGAGTGATGGGCACGCTCTTGAGTTGACTGTGGTGATGGCTGCACTCATCTGTGAGCAGACCAACGACCCTTGACACATAAAGAGGGGAACGGTGCGGTATATGAAATAGACCTCAGTAAAGGTGCTACCAGGGAAGGTGAGCAGAATGCCAGCTTCACAAGAAAGAAGCACTTCCAGGCCATATGGTCAGACCTGCGTGCCATTTGACAATGCTCTCAGACACCCAGGTTACTTTAACGCAGGTCACCCCGGGGTGCCATACTTCATGAAAGCCCCCTAAGATGGGCAAAGGCCCTCCTCCTGTCGAGGCCTGGTAAGGCATCATCTCAACTAGATCAGATGACATGGTGCTCAATATAAGAAATGACTCACAACACCCCATATTCCTGGCAATCACAAAGTTGTACTCCAAATGAGCCTGAAAACTTGCATTTCCAAGCAAGAAAATCAAGAGGCCAAGGAGGAGCAGTTTAACCAAACCCCGCCGTTCGTGGACCCAACTCCAACGCTGGCCTCGGCTTCAATTCCAGATTGAGCCCTCGCCCCGCCAAGGGGGTGAGCGGCCACGGGTGCCTCCCCTGCGGCCCTGCAGGCCTCGCAGAGCGCCTCCTAGGAGCTCCTTTCCCTCTCCGGTAATGAGCGGAGATGCCCGGCCACAGGCCGCCTCTTCCCTGGGGCTCTGCTTCATCTGGCTCAGACTGAGCTGTCAGGCCAAGTGTCTGCACTTCCTAAAGCACCCAACATCTCCCACCCCTCACCCCCCAGGAGCAGGCAAATCGATACAAGCAGAAAGGAGTGAGTTGGCCGGGAAGAGGGAAAAGAGGAACACAGAGTGGATGCTCATGAGTCCAGGCCTTCTCTGTAGGGGGATGAAAAGCAGCTAGCAGTGGCCATACACCCTGAGGACACTGAACCCGCAGGGGATGGCAGGCAGGAGGAAAGATGCAAAGGTGGCAGCGAGCCCTGTGCTTTTTAGGCTGGCCTCACCGCACCCGGCGTGGTTCGCGAAGGACAGGGCGAGCGGCCTGCTGGAGGTGAAGAGCAGGACCAGTATCTCCCCGCCCCCCGCCCAGCCCACGTCATATGTGATGCTGATTGGCATGAAGACAGCTCCAGGGAAACACCAGAGGTCTACAGAGATGAGGCAGCTATTCTCCCCGCTTAACTTGGTCAAGCAAACAGAGGCTGAGACATGGAGGCTAAGTACTGGCCCGAGCCAGCGATGCAAGGGGCGAAGCTGCAACGTGGACAGCGACAAGTCTGTGCGCAGTCACGGCCCAGATGTGTACCCCAGGGCCACACCGTGACTGCCTAGCTGGACGCGTGAGGGACAGCACCCGGAGGGCTGCTCGGGCCTGGGGGACAAGCCAGGGGGAGGCGGCCGCATGACTGTCTGTTGCACAAGCACCCCAGAGGTTTAACAGGAAGTCTGCTGAGGAGAGAAAGACCTTCAAGTAGTTCAAGACACTCGGAAGCCCATGGCCGTCTCCCCTCCCTCCAGGCGAGTCTCTGCTGTCCCATCAGCACGTCAGGAGGCCCAGCACCGCATCGGGCGCCCGTGCTGAGCGTAAATGAGTGAGACACGGCCCGTGCCAACTGAGACGTACACTGGAATAGTTTCCAAAATTACTCCTTGTTTAAAAACCAAGTCTGGACTTGGCTGCCAGTATTGCAATGAACATTCTTTCAGCATTTTAAAGGGAAACATTTACACCTCACATTAATCACAGTAGGAAATTTCCTCCTAGTCCGATCACCTTCATTGTACCACTTACAAAGGTTTACATTAAATTCACCTTGTCTTCCCCCCTTGTAAGATTTTGAGAAATTTTACACAGTAAATAGCGTGGTGGAAGCGCTCAGGGCCGAGTACAGCCTCAGGCCGGGTCTTGGCAAAGGAGCTCTGACTGCGGGAGAGCTGAGCTCGCTTTCAGCCATGTTTATTACGTTTTCCACATATTTCTATCTTCCACACAAGACATTATTGCCATCCAGAAGAGGGAATCAGCGCCACGGTGAATGGCCCATACTAGACATTTTTTCATAGCAAAATTTAGCACCAACTCAGGGGCAATACAAGGGGTTGCTGGGAATCCCGTCCCCAAATTTGACTTCTTGATTCTCACGCACTCTCAGAACTCACAGGCACGTGGTTCTGGGAGCAAGGACTACCTAAAACCGGGAGTGGGACTAAGGTAACTGTACACAGTGATGACTTCATCGCAGGAGCAAACCTCCTGCTTCAAGGAGAGAACACTCAGCAGACAAGTGGGAGCAGCAGTCTCAGGAGCCTGAAACCTGAGATGGTGTGTGAGGACACAGACATGACCGTCACCTCCTCACCTGACCTTCACCTGCCCGAGAGGCCCCAGGTAAGAGCCTCACACTGGTCACTACCCCCAATGGTCTCCATTTGGCAAGTCAGAGACAAGGGAAGGAACTACTGAAAAGGAGGGACTGGACAGTCCTCTAGTGTTACAGAGTCGATACGCTCATGAAAAAAAGATCACTGATTCCTTTAAATAAAGTACGTTAAACCAGGAAGTCTGGGCTAGAATATAACTTAAGGGAAAAGTTCAAATCTGAACTTCAGGTCAGTGGCGGGCAAGCACCTTCTCTTTCTCGAGGATCACTTGCTTTACAAAGTGAGTTGCTAGCTCTAGCTGTGATGGAACAAAGGGCAGCTCCTTCCTTGTCACTGAAGGACACCCACGTCGAACAGGACCCCAGGGACGCAGAGGTCAGGTCCAGGGCTGCACAAATGAACTCAGTCCAGGTGCCAACAGTCTCCTTTCCCCCCTCGAAGACCACTCTGGCTACTGTGCCCCAGTGAGCCCTCGGGACTCCCCTCTCCACTGCAAAACTGACCATCAAAGCGACTAAAATGGAAGGTAGCGTTTAAAATGTAACACTGGTTTTGCTTATAGGTAAGACCGGTTTTCTTACAGCATGTATAAGGCACGGTGTGAGAAAGCTGCTCCCACGCCCAGCCGCACACCCACACTTGGCTCCTCACACGCTCACATGCACACAGAAGGGGCCAGCTGATTTGCCACGATGCACAGGGCACGGGGAGCTTCCGATCACTTCTGGTTTTTGAGCTGGTTGGAGAGCCAGTCCAAGCCTTCGTAGAGCCCGTCTCCGCTGGTGGCACAAGTAGCCTGAATGTACCAGTTTCTCTGGCGCAGGGAATGTAAGCCAAGTTTGTCTGTTATCTCTGCTGCGTTCATCGCATTGGGAAGATCCTTGAAAGAGAGGATTCAAAAGTATTCAAAAGTTACGATGCTGTGTTTAGACAATGACATATGCCCTACCCCAAAGCCTGCTCCAACCCAGTCTTACCTCAGCCCCAGTGAGTTGCTCAGCTCCCAGACCCTGAACTTAACCTTTCTCTCAACATTCACAATCCCGGCTCCACCATCAGACTCAGAATCTGACCACTTCTCACTGCCTCCACCTCTGGGTGCGGCCCACATTTCTATGTGTGTTACTGAAGTGACTTCCTAATGGGTCTGTTCTTGCTCCCCAGTCTAGTCCCACCCAGCAGTCAGTGAGCCCGAGTTCCCTAACAGCTCAGTCTCTTGGGAAGAGCCAGGGCCTTGAGGTGGTGGGCAGGGCCTTCGTGACCTGAGCCCCAGGGATGCCTAATTGTCCCGTTCAGTCGGCTCCTGCGTGCAGCGCTCTCTGCCTGTTACTAGACGATGCCATTTACTCGCTGAGCTGCCCATTACCCACCTCCCCTCGCTAGAGATTCCGCTACAAGGGCCGGAATCTCTAGGGTGCCCCAAGTGCACAGACCAATGCCCCACAGAGTAAGCTCAAACGTAATTGGAACAGAGGAGCGTTTAAGAACAAGGTAGGGCTAGACGTGCTGACTGGAAGGGCACCAGAGATGTGCTGAGCCCAAGGCTAAGCCAAGGCAGACTCTTCTCCAGGGCTGGAAGATGAGCAGCATCAGAGGCTGCCTCTGACAGGCGTTGAAAGCTCTTATCTCTGGGAAGAGATAACAGAAATTCCACAATGTTGGACCCTGAGAGGCAGGGGTGAAAGATTCCACTGGCACACTGAGACCACGAGCACGGACTGTTTATATCATAAAAGGAGCAAGTTGGCTATTTTCCTCTTTGAACGTCCACCGTGTTCAGTGGTGAACTTCTGGACTGGCATCCAGCCCATCATAGGGGGTGGCTGTATGAACAAGGACCCACCAGCACGTAAAATCACGATTACCCAACCTGGATGGCAAGAGAATGTTCTCAACAGATCTGAAGGGACACAACAGGATGCAGCCCTGCCTGAGGATGATGTCCGTGACAAGAGGAAATACGCTCGCTTGTGGAGGAAAGTGGGGGGAAGTCCGTCAATGTGGACAGCTCTCATTTTCACGCTCAGCTCAGCTCTGAGTACCCAGGTAGGTGGCTCAACGCAGGGGCCTCCACTACTCTGCTTCTGCTGTTTCTCTCTGTACTGAGCAGAAGCCCCTCTTCCTCCTCTGTGACAGGTCCTGTGTGACCTGCACGCTTCTCACCCCTTGGCGCCCACCGTGCTCCATGCCAGCTGCACTGGCTGCCTGGCAGTCGTCAGAAGTATGGGGCTCCCTTCTTGTGGCCATCAGACCCCTGCTCAGATGCCATCTAGTCTGAGAGGCGCTCTGGCCCTACCCCACATCCACCAGGCCCCCCCCTCCGCCTACTTCCCCCAACACTTCTTCCAGACACACAGCGTACTGACTGCTTCTCCGCTAGCCTGAAAGGCCTGGAACACAGGGCTGTTAGCCTGTCTTCTTCACGGTTCCATCAGCAATGGCTAAAACAACAGGTGAATGGAATATCAAGACACACTCCAGCGACAGTAGTTGAGCGAGTGAATCAAGATTATAAAGCAGGTGGAGGGGTTACTGTAGGGACTGCAGAGAGGGAAGCAGACACCTAATTTAAATATCTGTTGAAGTGAGACATCCGGCTATAAACTTCAGTCCCAATACTTAGAAAGCCAACGGCATACCTGCTTATTCACAAACACCAATAAAACTGCATCTCTGAGCTCATCTTCTGCTAACATTCTGGTTAGTTCTTCTCGGGCTTCATTGACCCGCTCTCTGTCGTTACTGTCAACCACAAAAATCAGACCTGAAAAGAAATCACAAGCATATCAGTAACGTGAACCTAGACGGAAAGGCCGTTTTTTATGTTCTCACAGCTTTGCTCGGTGCGGTTTCACTGAAAGCAATCAATATGCAAGGATATATAGTCTCAAGTTAGAAGCTGCTGTATACTCCACTAGCCTGTTTTCCAGAAGCACCACAGCCCTTCACTAGGTACTTGTGACAACATGGAAAGGCTGCGCTGGCTCTGTCACTCGTTTCTGCCGCATACCTATGTACCGAAGTGCCAATAAAAACTGAGCGCTGTTCAGACCAGCTTCCTGGCTTGCCAATGCCCTGCGTGCGTCACACACCCACGAGCTGGAAGGGTAACACTTCCTGGCCCCGGGGAGAGGGCACAATGGCAGCCCAGATCTCATTCTGTGCCTTGCTCCCTTTGGCTGCAGCGCTTGTATTCTTTTGCTATAATGAAACTGTGATTTAAACGTAGCACTTTCCTGGCACCTGTGAATTATTCTGACAAACTATACAACCCAAGGAAGAGGGGTAACAGCCAAATTTGTAGCAGTCAATCAGAAGTGAGAGTAGTCTGGGACTCCCCAACCTGCTGGTGTCTGAAGTGAGGGGGTCTTGTGACCACCACCTGTGAGGCTTGGGAGGCCTTTCGGCATCCCCCAGCCCCGCAGCATCAGAAGCGAGACTGGCGAAGACAGGCTGGGCCACGGCACCTGCACAGAGGCGCTGAAGCCTGAGGCGACCCACCGCTGCCACAGTGGCTGGAGGAAGCAGGTGACCTGCGTTCCTTCTGATACTGAGATCGCACAGCGGAAGCCAAGGTGGGGAACCAGGGCAAGCCACTCTCTTCCCTTTCCCTCCACGCTGCCTCCCAGCCCCCCAACCATCCATCTGCAGGCAGGCAGCACTGAGGCTCCTGAGTGTTTGCTTGGGGCAGAGGGAAGAATGCCAAGTACTCCACCCCACCCTACCCTGGAGAGCCATATGCCTCCAGCAGTTCTGGACTCCAATCACAACTAAGTAAACAAAGTTATCCCGAAATTTGAAGACATCCTTTGTTATCTGGCATATCATCCCTTTGCAATTCCTAATGTAAATACAGGTTTATAAATATTAGAGTCCATATTTCTATTGTTTGCATGTTGATCTTTATCTGGGAACAAAATAAGCAGCATCAGACAGACTGCACTGTTGAGCTGAGAAAAACGGTAAATGTAGACATAAGAAGTATACTAGAATTGTTTTTTAAAGGGAGGAGAAATATCTACAGCTGCTTATTAATGTATAAATTATAATGTATAATTTTCTACAGGAGAGAAAATGGGTGGTTAGGAGTCAGACAGGAGAGTGACTTTGACTATATGCTCATTTCTTTTTGAGTTTTTAACTATGTAAGTATATTGGCCTTCAACAAGTTAAAACATGAACCTAGAGTCAAAGAAAAATCTTTCCACATGTGAAGTAATGAACCGTTTTATACCTTTGAAACGATATAATCAACAACAAGTCACATAAACAGTTCAGGTTTCCATCTGGACAAGTGAAACCTACACACTGTTAAGTATCTTAATAGAGAACTAAAAACTATCAAGTCTCTCATACGCAACATACTGATGAAGAAAATTTAAATATAAAAAGACAGCCTGACCTTTGGGGAGTTGGCAGAAAAACAGGGACAACATTCAAGATTACTCATGGCTACACCGCTGGGACCCAAACCCATTCTTCCAGCAGACCCCAGGCTCACTCCATGAAGACGCTGAATTACCTACCATGCCATGCCCTAGGTCACAACAGGTCCCCCACAGCAAGCTATTGCAATTCAGTAAAATTAGGCTGATAATGAACATAAGATTGAAAACAGAAAGACATTTCAACTTGGTGACTGAATGCGACAACTCTGAATAGGGAAGGCCTAAGGAAAGCTGCCAGGAAAAGAGGGAGTAAATCACCGAACAATTCGCACTCTGCGAGGCTAACACTGTGTCCGCTGGGCTGGGCCACAGGGGCCCAGACATGTGATTCCACATGATCCCAGGTGTGTCTGCAAAGCTCTGTCTGGATGAGATGGAGCATGTGACTGGGCAGCCTGAAAAAATGAGACTGCCTTCCCCAAACACAGCTGGGCCTCCCCAATCCACTGGCCTGAACACAACGAAAAGGAATGGTGAGGGGACTGGTGCTTCCGCCTGACCGCCTTGGAGGCGGGAGGGAGACTGGTCTTCTCCAGACTTTAGAACGGAAGGGTAATTGGCGCTCCTGGGTCTTCAGCTTGCCAGACAAACACAGGTTCCTGTCTGCCAACTAGGAAACTAGGAATCATTTACTGTTAGCCGCTAAAGGCAGATTCACCTCCACTATATAGATGGAGAAATGGAGACAGAATACTTACTTACCTTTCCCAAGGTTCCACAGCACAGCTGAGGTTCAAACCCACCTTTTCTAGTTTTATTTTAGATGAAGAATGATAATAGTTTGACCGATATGGCAAGGGCCAAATGCAAGATTAATGAACACTTGGACCATCTAAAAGACTCATCTCTTCTTCTACAGAGGGATGATTCGATGTTCGCAACAGGTGTAAAATATTCAAGTGAATTCGAATTCTTCGAAAACTAAAACTCACCTAAGGTGCATGTAACTCTTAGCCAAAAAAAAATGAGATTTTTGCTTCCAGCATCCATCTCTAGAAGCGTTTTATACGTACACATATATGTATATTCCCAAGTCTACAGATCAAGTAGTCTTTACCTTGGGTGTTCTGGAAATAATGTCGCCACAGAGGTCTGATTTTGTCCTGGCCACCAACATCCCAGACTGTGAAGCTGATATTTTTATATTCTACCGTCTCCACATTGAAACCTAAATTGAAAAGATGGAGAAAATTTTTAATGAAGACTATCATTGGTTGAACAATTCACAGCAATTTCAACTAACACTTGGATCGTACTTCAATCTGCAACACAGCTTGCAAGCTGAAGCTGTCCCTCACTAAACACTTTGTAGGCCTGCTCCCCCATTCATCACAACAGGTGTCTCAAACCTCCTCTGCGCTCTCCAGCTTCCATCTTGGCCCCTCCTCGTTCTCTCAGCAGATCCTCAGCTGTGTTCCCCACAACAAACAGAAGCACTGACTTGCACATCCCACCAATGCAGAAATCCACCTACCTCCTCACCTCAACTTTCCTCCTCCCTCTTGGAGCAGAAGGGAGCGAGCTTCTCATGCCAACTCCACACGCTCTGGGACCTTTCCCTGTCGCTCCCACCCCTCCCCCTTCCTTGTGCCACAGCTTCACAGCTTATACCCTCTATTTTCCCTTTTCAAGTCAAACTTCTCAAGACCTTTGGCTTCATTCTGGGCCTACTGTCACCTCACCCAGAAGGAACTTAGCTCTGCCTCCCCATGGTACTTAGCTGGTCTCGCCAAGAAATCCAGCCAGTGACCTTCAGTTCTTTGGGAATTCGATGTTATTCCTGACACCGCTGCTCATTTTTCTTTTTCTCCTTTTAGTCCATGGCTGTATCTTCCCCAAGCTCCTTGAGAAGCTCAAACACCTCTCATGATCCTTAAGTGATGGACGCTGTCCTGCCCTATCCAGACTCCTCTTTCCACCCCCGCCCATAGCTCATCTGTTTCTGGGGCGTCATAATTGTCTTTGTGCTAACCATCAGTTTACACTTCCACACTGCAGGCTCATAATCCAACCTCTGTCCACCATCTTTGGCTTGATATTCCAAAGCAACGCATCAAAAACTGAACTTAAGATTTTCATCCGGTCAACCAATTCTTCCACCGGCCTCACAGACTTCACTTCACAACCCTGACATTTCCAAATCACTAACCCCCTAAAATCTCATTACCACATCTCAATTCACCCTACTATATACAAACAGTCACCCACTGACTACTGACCAAAAATAATTGACCATTATTTTTAGGTTCAATGAATGAAACAGCCTAACTAACCTCACTGCATCCATCCTTCATCTCTTCAACCATTCACCTTTTTTTTTTTTGGACAAAGGAAGTTCATTTATTCTTTGTTGTTGTTTTATTTATTTCTACATCATTCTTCATTTTGTGCCCTTTTGCTACCTCGGTTATAATACCCATCATTCACCATTTTCAAATCAAAGCAATCAAAACAATATAATGTGTCATATCATTTCTCTACACACTTATGCTTGATGGAAATATTTTAAATAATATATTAAAAAAAAAAACAAAAAAACTTCTCCTTGGTTTCTCACATCCAATTCCAAACAACACTAAAAAAAAAAACAAAAAAACTTCTCCTTGGTTTCTCACATCCAATTCCAAACAACACTATAATCAAGGCCACAATCTTAACCTACTCCCTTTCCAAATTTCAATTCTAGTCATGTCTTATTTTAGCAAGAGGCCCTCTCCGGCACAGTAACAATCTCAATTCCCACATGGAAATAATGTATAAATGTAGCACCTAGGGATACTCCCAATCTGAAAGTGATGGGGAGGACAGAAAATGTAGCAAAATAATCTTAAATTTAGTGAGGAAAAATAAGCATAACTAGAAATATCTAAAAATAGTAAGTTATTTTAAAGACTTAATCAAAGCCTGATAATACCTGACATAATTGTGTTTAAATGGGATCAAAACTATATAATGTGTCCTATCATTTCTCTACAAACTTATGATTGATGGAAATATTTAAAATATTTTTTTATAATATAATAGTTTATTTTTACATCATTTTGTACATTTTTTTTTTCATCTCACTTGTAATCCCCATGTGTTTCCCATCACCAAGTCACAAAATATTTTTTAAAGATTTATTTATTCATATAGAACTGGGTTACAGGCCAGGGGTGCAGGGGTGGTGAGAGGATTCACCAGAGACAGAGTGGGGAGCAGAACAGGCAGATCGATGAAGTACACTGCTGAGGGGAGCAGCGGGCAGATCAGGAGAGGTCTGCTGTGCCATGTGGGTCAGCTCTGGGACAGGGGACTGAACTCTCACTGAGGCAGCAGTGTTGAGTCCTGCTGTGCCACCAGGGAGGGCCTAAAATAATATTTTTAAAGGAGGGAGTTGTCCAGACAGAGAGGCATGTACTTGGGAATATTTAGTGTATGACAAAATCAGCACAGACAACACTGTCAGTAAATGGCACTGGACATCAGTCTGCCCCTGAACGAGTCCAAACTCTATGTGGTCGTTTCATTAAAGCTACAGACAGTTACAAATTCAACTCCTCAATTGTACCAGCCCCATTTCAAGAGTTCTAGTCACTGTGGCTAATGGCTGCTACACTGGACAGCACAGACAGAACACTGCCCTCATCACAGCAAGTTCTATTGGCCAGCTCTGGTCTACTAATTTGAAGAATCTAATCAAGTCCCTAGCTTAGTCATAATAGTAAAATAACCTTCAAATGAGTAAAAATACTTTTTAAAAATTAAGTAAAAATAACCTGTAAAATTAGCAGGAGAAAATATTGGTGAATGTTCATGATCTTAATTAAAATGGGGAAAATCTAAAAATATTTACTAAAGTAAAAATGGGAGGGAGAAAGTAAATGTGACTACCTAATAACTTTAAACTTCCTAATGGAAAAGCACTGAAAAAATAAGGTTCAAAGACAAACTGGAAAATCTAACTGCCACATGGCAAGAAGCATTCCTAATCAGTCTGTCCTTGAAATCAATGAGACAGATAGAACATCCCAACATAAAAAAGTAGACCAGTATTAAAAACAAGTCAGAGAGCAAAAACAGTGGGAAACCAACACTTGCATATATTAAATTAGTTAAAATAAATCTGAAGTCAGATTGGCAAATGAACACTTTTTATAGTTGGTGACATAGCCTTTTTGGGGAACAGTATGGTAAGATGTACCCACATTTTAAATGCAAATATTAACACAGCAACCCCTCCAGGGATTACTGCAAGGAGGTAAGTACCTAATATTTATAAATATGTTAAATATGTTTACTTTAGCACCATCTATAAGAACTATTGCAAATAATCTAATCATCCATCAATGGAAAATTGCTTTAAAATAAAACCACAAACAGACTACTACCCAGTTATTAAAACTGGATGTCAATTTGTTGTTGTTGTTTTTTAATTTAAGCGCAAAACTTAGTGGCTTAGAACAATGATCCCCCCCCCCATAATTTCCTGAGGTGCCTAGGCTTCCTCTGATCGCTCCATTCAGCTAGTGAGTCCCTTGGGGCTGCACTGGGCCCCTCTCTCTCCTGATGGTCTTTTTTATCCTAGAGGAGCACTGAGCTTGTCAAAAGGTGGTGGCCATGTGCCAGCAGGGCCCCGAGAAACAAGCACATATTCAAACTACATTTGCTGCGGTCCCCTTGGCCAAGTCTGGCGAAGTTCAACATCACTATGAAACCAGACTGCCCAAAGGTGTACCATCCAGTAGGCCCATTACTTTAGCACTCTGCCACAAGGTCCACATTCAGTCAGTCATTCACCAAATATGTACTGGGCATCTCATGTGAGTCAGGCATTTTGCTAGGCTTTGGGCATAGCGGTAAACGAGACAGACAAGATTCCTGGTATTATTTACACTGTGAGCAAGCAATGACAAATGTGCCCTGAGTTACTAAGAAGTTCAGGTTGCTATGGAGACTAATAACAAGGGGAAACCAATCCAAGTGGTCAGGAAAAGTGTCCCTGAGAAATGTTTAAACAGAGGGGAAAAAAAAATGAGCTGGCATTAGCTAGATAAATGGGGAGGGGCTAAGGAAGAAGGCAGGAAAGCATTCCACAGAGAGGAAATGATATAAGTGAGATCCAAACAAACTCTAAGGCATAAGCTGGAAAACAGCATAGACATTCACCAAAATCTTAATAAAATGTGCTTTGTTTGTTTTTATAAATTGCATGTTTTTCTGTATGTCTGAAATCACAGAGGTGTAAATTATTTTTCCAATTAGAGGAAACTAAGCAATTATACTATTTTCACTTTGGACTAATAACTATTTAAATTGTGGGTATGAGTATTTTCTCCATCTGGTTTCCTGTTCCTTCAAATGTTGCAATCTCAGAAGCTCACTGCCCACATTGTGAATTGGTCATTTGGTCCCTGTGCCTAAGCCAACATTCGGAACTCTACTGACATTCTCGCGCCGTCTGGAGAATGCTTCTCACTCAGGAGTTTGGATCAGGAGGCCATCCACAGGCAAAGATTAAGCTCTGTCAAAACTGCCTTTGCAAAACCCTCAAACAGCCCATGCTGGTTCACAGGCAAGCTACCCTGCCAGACTACCCCCCAGCACTGAACAAATCAGATTTTTCAACTGGACACCACTCTGGCTCGAGTCAGAGTGAAGGGGGAAAAAGTAATCACGCTTAAACACACATCCTTAAACACTAGGAGCATGCATGGTGTGAGGAGATGATTTCCCTTGGAGAGGACTCATGCCGGGACACAGTGACACAGTCATCCTCATCGTTTCTATCATAACTAGCCTCTTTTTTGCCAAGCAGATAGGGTTAAGTTTGCTTAACCAAAATGTGTTCATACGACTCCCCTATAAACCCGCAATGTGCTAAAAGATGCCAAAAAATAATTACGAAATGATGTTACCTGATTTTGGAATCAAAGATTTATGTTGTTGGGGTAGACATGAAAAATATTCAATAATGTAAGATGTATGTAAAAATATGATGTACTAAACTGGGAACTGGCCTCACTACAGGTCTTAACATACCTATTGTAGGGATGGTGGTCACAATCTCTCCCAGCTTCAATTTATACAAGATAGTGGTTTTTCCAGCTGCATCCAAACCCACCATAAGAATCCGCATCTCTTTTTTACCAAATAGACTTTTAAACAGTTTTTCAAAGACGTTCCCCATGGTAAATGAGTTGTTATCTGAATGGAGAAAAAAAAAAAAACACTCGGTCAAGTCATTGTTCTCTGCAGAAATAAACATAGATAAAATATAAGTCTCTATTAGATATGGTTCCTAGTAAAATTCAAAACAACTTTAAGAACATTTGAACCAAGAAGGAATGGTTTTCAACGGGAAATTCAACTAACCCCTTAGTGCTCTGACAGAAAATTCTCTTTTCCACTGCAGCATCCAGTTGGGTCAGGTAGAAGCACACTCTGCTACCATTGTGGGGGCAGAATTTAGTCACGTGAAGTACGGAAGAGACGCTGCACCAAACAGCTAAATTCCCTTCAATTAAGAACTGATGAAACGAGCTTATTTTACACAATGTGAAACAAAGTCCTTAACACAGGGTAAGTATCAATATTGCTTAGAAATTTAGTAGCTGCCTTTGGCTAGCAGATAATAACATCCAGAAAGAACCAAAAAGAATTCTAAGGAAATACAGCATTAGGAAACAGCCCTGCCAACAGAGAAATTAAGTAGGCAATGAGCTGAGAAAATATTGTACACACCAATATTGAACATCACCTTACTCCCAACCAGTTAAAAAAAGAAGTTACTGAATAGAGTTTACATACATATAAACAAACATAATAAAATAAAGATACCATGAAATGAAATGTCCACCAGCCAATAAGCTCTCCTTATGCTTCCCTCCCAGTCACTATTGGCAAAAAGTGAATGACTCTTTTGACTTCTGGCAACATAAATGTTCACAATTTTTCACACATTTTGTAGAGTGTATGCTAGCTAGCTTCTATAATGGAATATACAGACAGACTAGCTTTGCAGAAATTCATAGTCTTTTAAAAGACTAGCCTTTTTGAGGCATGAGCTTGACATTTGAATACAAGACTTAGAAGTGGTACTCCGTGCTGCTAATCAAGCTCCAAGAAGACTACAAAGATTCTTCAGAAAGAAAAAGATTGGTATCCTTGTTCCAGAGATGACAATCTGCCTTTTAAACTACTAACCACAGGAAAACTAATCCTGGGCGGAGCAGGAGGAAAATGCCACCAGGACCACCAAGCTCCCATTCACCTGGACCCTCGTGACCTTAGAGGGGAGACTGCCACATTCCTGGGACCCCAGCTCTGACACTCAGGTTCCCACAGGAGGTCAACAGCAGGGATGACGCCCAAGCACACCCCTGCATTCTCAGACCAAAGAAAGAGCGTCGCGCTGACCCGTGCATAAAGGAGGTGAGCCGCTGCCGCTTAATCGTTCATAGGAGGCCCGGGCACAAAGTCTATACAAATCCCGTGCACTGCAGCACTCAAAATCTTGTTGCGCGACAAAACTAGAAATTCCTTGTCTTTGTTTCCGGGGGAAAAAAGACAAAGAGCGGAGATGAGAAAGCCCGTAGGAACTTGCTGGGGGGGGGGGGGGGGGGCCTGCAGGTACTTCCCACTTAGATGCCCTTTGAGGCAAATGCTCAGCCCGATTCCTCCCCCAGCCACCCGTACCCGATGCGCCTCCTGGGGACTCGGCCCTGCTTCTTTTCTCCTCTTCCTCCTCCTCTTCCAGGGCCCCCAGACCCCGCTGCAGACCCCCTAAGGAAAGACGCCGCCCAGCCCGGCCGCTCCTGGGCAGCGCCAACACCAACTGTCCTTCCCGGGGAGAGAGCGACAAGATCTCCAGGGCGCCAGCGAAAGCCAAGCACCCCCACCCCCCGGGAAGGCCTCCGAATACCCTTTCAGCTCGGTCGTCCGGCCGCTCCCTCCCAGCCTGCGAGCCCAAGGGGGGGCCGGGGGACCCGCGGCGGACGCGCCGAGACTCCCGGATCTCCGCAGCCCCTACCCCACAGAGGGCAAAGAAGGGACATTCTTCGCTCAACCCTTTCCGCTGGTCACTCGCCGCTCTCTAGCTTCCCGCCCGCCATCGGTCAGGAAATCCAGACAGGCCTCGAGTGCCGCAGCCCTTTCTCCATAGACTACTCACCAATCGCCACTCGAAGCCGAGAAACCCACACTGGTGTCTTTGGATTTCAGGTCCCCTCTGTAAAATGGCGACTGCCGCGAGGCGGGACCAGAAACCAACCAATCACCTTCCACCTCTTGGAGCTTTTGTACCAATGAGCTCAAAGTTCCGTGAGTGACGACAAGTCGGACCAATGTGAAGGACAGTAAGAGCGTGGCAGGAAGTGGGTCCGCCCCTCGCGACCTAGGCGACGGCACGAAGCTCTAGAAATGCCGGGTTTATTCTCCAATGACAGTTCCCTGCGTCCCGACGAGACACGCCCATACGCCCCGCCCCCCAGCCTCGGGCGACCAATCAGAAAAGTAAGAGGATTTCCCATTGCTCCGCCAACCAACTAGAAAAAATTCCAAGGATTGAACTGACCCGGGAGAAATCGGACTAACCCGGTGGGGGGTTATGGGCGGGGTCAAGTTCACGGTGCTATTTAAGGAAAATTGTCCCGGTTGAGCTAAAAGTAGAAACTAGCTTGGGGTAGAATTCCGTCTGCCACCGATACCTTTGTTCAAACAGTCTAAAAACCGTGGTCTTCACTTCTGAGAAATACTCTGAATAACTCCTAGACGCCAGCTTGCATAGCTAAGAAAAAGAAAAAAGTCTGTAAGTGGTGCATAACTGAGATAATCAGAAAAACTAATGCCAACTGAACGTATAATATGTGCCAAGAATTTATGTCAAGGACTTTACCTACAAGACTGTATCGCCTTGTGAGTTAAAAACTATCATTTCTTTTAAAAAAAAATCATTTCTATTTTACAAAGAAAAAATTAAGTAGCCTGGTATCTTAATCTTTTTAACCAAATACTTCTTTGGTCACAGTAATTGAGAGTAATGTAAGTTATATGGGAGGTTGTCTACTTGACTTTAAAAATTATTGTTCAATAACCATAGAACTGTATATAATTTTTTAAATATGTGAGAAAAAGACCACCCGTGGCCCTCCCTGGTGGCACAACAGGTTAAAACAGCATTATGAAGCTATCGGCAGCCACTACAGAAAGAGCTCCATCCCCGCCAGGGAGCTGACCCACATGGCACAGCAAACCTCTCCTGACCACATACTGCTCCCCTCAGCAGTGTATTTCAGTGGATCCACCTGTTCTGCTCCCCACACTGTCTCTGGTGAATCCTTTCACTCCCCTGTACCTCTGGCCTTGTATGCATAAATAAATAAATCTTAAAAAAAAAAGAAAAAAAGATCATCCTCCAACAGATAGAGGAAAATGAGGTGGATGATAAAGGAAAAATCACCCATCATCACTGTTACCACTTTAGTTTTTTCTTTCCATTCACTTTGCTATGCAATTTTTACATAGCTCAGATTATCAGTACATAGTTGTTGTTTTTTTTTTTTTGCTAACATTTTATGTTGAGTATTTTTCATTGTTTAACATTTGTGATGGCTGTGTGATTTCTATAATATGGGTATAGCATGATACATTTAATCAGTTTCTGTAGTTCAACATTTAGATGTTTTTAAATCTTCTAGTGTGAGTGACGTTACAGTGGCATCCCCCCTCCCCCAGCATTCCTTCCTGAATACTCAGGAAAGAATTTCAAAAGTGGAGTCATTGGTTCAAAAAAGATATCTACTGCTCTTGATACATATTACATTGCCAAATTGTTTTTTCAGTAGATTATGCAAACTTACATCCCCACCAACCAAATGAAAGTCATGATGACTTCATCCTAGTAAGCTAGTTTAAGAAAAGCGGGTTTTAATGTTTTGTTTGATAATTTAATAACAATTTTTTTTTACTTTTCTTTGGATTATTTTTCACTTCTATAGTGACTTTTATTTTTCTAAGTGTTTACTCATATTTTTATTTCACCTACTACAAATGATCTATTCATGTTTTCCTACTAACTTCCAAGGAAAGATGTGAAGTTGTTTTACCAGCAGCTATGAAAGTTTGAATGGTGTCATCATAAAAAGGTAGGGGAGGCAAGTGAGATAGCAAATGTAAGATTTTATGTACCATTGTTTATACCTACAGTAGTGTAGGGTTGATTTCAATTGCTTAGGGTACAACTGATTGAACAGGGGTTATTGTTTCATTGAAAACACTTCCTGTCAATATAATGTTTTTTACAGCATGGGAGGCCTAAAGTACTTTTAGGAGAAACAGAAAGGTCATTTCATCTTGAGAAATGTCTTGCTTGGAGGTAGCTGCCAGTTAAATGTTAACATTGGTGAGTAGTGTTCTTAGTCATAGTTTCAGTTCCCTTGGTAGTAGAAGTACTGCTTTGGAACTACTGGTTCAGGTGCTGAATAAATTAGGTACTCTGTTAACGGTCTTGTCTCATTCTCACATGAAAACATTTGTTTAGAGAGTTGAAATGTCACACAGAATACCTCTACACTTTTCTAACTATATGTGTCCTCTGTTCTGGTCATATGGACACTCAACAGATGCTTTCTTCCTTCTTTCCATGCTTCTTGCCTTAGAAACAGTCCAGGCCCTCTCTGGTAGCACAGTGGGTTAAAGCACAGCATTGTGAAGCTTACAAAGCCACTGCGGTGTAAGTTCCATCCCCGCCCAGCGAAGTGACCCACGTGGCACAGCAGACCTCTCCTGACCTGCCTGTTGCTCCCCTCAGCAGTGAATTTCAGTCCATCTTCCTGTTCTGCTCCCCACTCTGTCTCTGGTGAATCCTCTCACCACCACCACCCTGGCCCCCCAACCTCTGGCCTGTACTCCAGTTCTTGTATGCACTGATAAATAAATCTTTTTAAAAAGGAAGAAAAGAAACAGTCCTCCAATAAATTCTACATCAGGAAGAACCTTCTTGCTCTCTGGAGAAATCCAGGTAGCCAGTAGAGCCCTTCACAGTTAGTTGTAGTTTATAGGCTTATAGTATCTGATGCTTGTAAGCATTCAGTCCTCCTGGAGAATCTGACTTCCTTTCTCAAGATGCATAAAAGCTCACTAGGCCAGTGTCTGAAATGATCTCTCTTCCAGGAGCTGCAGGCAGTTCTCTGGACCGGCAATGTTCTTTTGCAGCCTTGCAAGTTCATTGGGGCTGGCACTAAAGGATCATTCGGTTGCCATAGCAACATTCCTTCCTTTGGGAGAGGATTCTGTCATCTCTCTCTTGCCCACTCAGACTTTCCAGATGAATTGATTTTTGTGACTAAAGGTGTTTGTCCTTGATCCTCTAAAGAGAAAAGACATACTCTTTTATCCAATAATAAAAAAAATCCAACAATAAAAGACCTGACTGCAGCTGAACTGCTGCATTGCACCAGCTGGGCTTCCTTTCTTTGAAAATTCCATGTCCATTCTCCATTTTGCTCCACTCGGTAGCCTTATCCATCATTTTGGAAAGAGATTTTCTCTTGACGGAAAACAAACAGATGGCAATTACATCCTCCTTAAACAAGCTAAGACGTAACTGTAAAATGAAGTTCTCAACAAGGCTCCTTGGGAGCCTGGGCTTGACTGGGGGTGGGTGACCCCTGGGTTTGGGTTGGAGGGACAAGAATAAGGATTGCTGTGCACACGTAGCCCACAGAACTGCCAGTCTCTGGAATTTTGCCTTTTGAGATGTTCCTGGGCATTGCTTGCCCACTGTATTGTCTTCAACTGCACTTGTGGGAATGCATCATATGAGGCTACTCAGACTGGAGAAACTTCTAAAAAGAGAGGAAGTGGTGTAGAGGAAGGGTAAGGAATTCTGCAGACTGCCTTTGTCTGCAGTGACATCTTCTGCAAAAGGATCACACACACCCACACTGACATTTACAATGGGGTGAGTTCTCTGCACAATACCGTACCCCTTAAAGCTACTACTACTGTTCCCAGCACCATTTATTTTTCCCTACAGTTTCCACAAACCACAGAGAACTTTCTCTTGATTATCATGGAAGTCATCAAAAAAGTGTGTTGTTTTGTTAAACTGGATGACTGTGAATCAGTTCACATCTCTGTAGTCTGGCATTACAAAGATGAAATCCTACAAAGAAATTAATTGTTCCCCTGGGTAAATTCCACAATTGTTACAACCAAATGTTTATGTACCCCAAAAGTTAGTTTCATGCCAATGGAGCACTTATGGGTGATATTTAATGAGAAGGAATTTTAACATAAAATTCTATATAGTCTTCAAGTCTTTGAATCAGGCCTCCACTTATAGATGATGAATATCTATGAGGAAAAGGAGTTGATAGAAGTTTCTCTATGTAAAAGGAATTTCCAGGTGAGTGACAAAGAAATGATTTCAGGCTTTCCCTTAATAGCAAAACTTAATTACATAAATAGGTAAGTATTTAAATACATATCTTATATGTAGAATATAAATGTGCCATATGTACACTTAATTATTTTTAATTTACTAGATATAAATTTATTTGAAAAAAAAATGACTTGTACTTTTAGACGTTTGGATGTTTAAAAAAATCTGATGGTGTGGTTTTGGCAAACTGGAGAGTCAGGAAAGAGTTTCAGTTCAAGTACAAAGGCAGTCTGCTGAAAACTGCCTTTTGCCCTGGGGAGAGCAATCCATTTCTCTGAGGAGATCAACCCAACTTCAATTCAGGCTTTTAGTGGTTTAGATGAGGAGATTATGGGGAATAATATTCTCAGAGTCCATGGATTTAAGTGTAAATTGAATCCAGAAATGTTCCCATGGAAACATCCAGAATGCTTGATCAAGTATCTGGACACCATGAACCAGCCACACTGACACATAAAATTAACTATCACACTAGGCAGTGTTCAGCAAGAACTGAACTTGGCAACCCTTCCCTTTTGTGCCCATTTCATCATCATCATCATCTTCTTCTTCTTCATCTTCTCTCCCACCTGTCAGGTATCTAATCCTTAGAATGTGATAGTCGTTTTGGTGTTAGGTTAAATTTAAATCACTGTTAGCTCTTACCTATTTTCTCACTGTAAAGGAGAGCATAATGAAAGAATTTCAGGGAACAATGAAGAGCCGAGGCAGGTTCTTTGTGGGTTTATTTTATTTTATTTTTGATGAAGGCAAAGAAAGTGACTGACTCATAGAAATCAAGACAAAATCTTTGCAAAAGTCACAAACCTGGTA